AACCAGTGCCTTATACATGTAGAACTAGACATTTTTAAACAAGTCCTCTGGCAAAAGTGCAGGGTTCTCCCCATGTACAAACGTGCTTATCGGCCCGATACGCTGGAATTGTGGCCCGATACGCCGACAAAAATGCCGATCACATTTGTCAGCCCCCGATACGCACAATATAATTTATTACACAAGCCATTAAAATGCACATTATCGTTTCATACGCCATTATTTCATCTTGACATTCAAAATCTTGACAAAAATCCCGTATTTCTGATGCTGCATGTGTGATCAAAATGCACACGATGACGGGTCTTTCGCGACGACCGCCAGCACCCAGCTATATATTAGCGCATTCAGCATGGTACACTGGTTCCCTTCGCGTGCTAACAGTATCAATGCTATGATGATGAAGGACCGGAACCAGTGTCTACTGCCTTGTACGTGCATACATGATGATTTCGGCCGAAGTTGGATCGTAAAAACACCAAACAAACATCGATGGAGAAAGAGAATTCTGCAAATTAATTCACAGAACGTGATCTCTATTTTCTGTGTATGTATTTTCCATTAAAATGACGAGATTGCAAAGCTCGAACGTATGGCGAAACATCGTACGCGTAGCATGCTTCTTAGAAGCAGTGGTGCAAAATTTTCAGCCACATGGGATGGGCCGTACACAGTTCAGTAATGCACACTGATGCTGCGCCGTGTCGGTGAGCACAGCGCGATGTACAGCCGGCCAGACTGAATGTTGACGGCGCCAGGGGCCATGATGTACGTTAAACATATTGTGGAATCAACTACCTCAAATATATTTTTAATTAGGTGAGGCAAGTTTTAATCACTTTTGATGGTCAGTCTTGATAATTTTCGTGGTGCAAAGGAAAATAATCCAGGCACAAAACTACATGATTCCTTGTTCAATATGCTCCATTCAATTAAGTGTTTTTATTCCTCCATGATTCAATCAGCAGCCCAAAAAATTGGCGAAATAATTTTTCCGACTTACCGACGCTATTTTGAAAGGCATGTAATCGGAAGCAAAAGTGATATTTTTCTTGACCTTAATTTCTTAATTTGAAACTTGCTTGTTAATATAATTCATACTTTCTAGATCAGGAAGTTTTAACACAGGTTTTGAAATGTTGATTTTTTTTTTTTAAGTTAAAAATTTTGATATATTTTTTTCTTTAATTACAAAAAATATTACATGATCTCCTCTAAATTTTAAGAGAAAATCTTCCTCAAAGACTCCCCAGATTTGCTCTAAAATGCACCAGAGAGCCTCTAAAGTTCAAAATTTTTCGGGGCCCTTAAGCGGGCCCCAAACCCCACGCCATGGCTTTGCAGGTTGGTGAATCACAACAAAACTTCCCCCACAGGTTTGAAAAAATCCTGGGGAGAACCCTGAAGTGTCCTTAAACAGATTTCAACTGATACTGATACAAAACCAGTAACTATTTGTATGATGATTTATACAGCCCTGCAGAAACTTAACTCCCTCCGATAGATTTTTCTACTTAAGTATTACATGAACTAAATCTTGTGTCGACTTGCTAAAACAGTGTGTATACAAACTTTAAATTACCAAACATTTTAACATGGTACTTTTATTTTTTTGTAACTGTAACTCATTGTTTTATTTGGTTGCTGAATTCTTTGTGTACATGTAGATGGTGATTTTATAAATTGCATACATTGACTACTTTGAACCGTTCTTTAGTTTTTGTCATTCAAAGCAGGTACATTGTATTCTAAGCTTTTACTGCCTATTGGTGTTGAATTATCTAAACTGTAACTTGTTTGTGCGTGTAATTCCGCATGGATCAGTTTTTCGGTTTCATATATGTATTCCTTTGCATTTTAGACCCTTTGCATAGTGCGCCCTCACTGAGGAAAGGTTTTTCCATTAGCAATATTTTTCAATGAAGAAATGCATCGACTCATGCATATACAGCAGACCAAATACTTGCTCTCCAGGCGCGGTTCTAGAACCAACATTTTGGGGGGCTAGCAGGGTGAATTCAGAATTTTTTTTCAGGGAGGCGTGCTGAAATGTAGACCGGTTATTTTCTCCAGACACTTAGGCCTCCGAAAATCAATGGGGGGGGGGGGGGGGGGAGCTCATGCCATATTTTCAATGGGGAGCGCCAATGAAATCCTAAAATCATTCACACTATATTAACTACAAATGCACCCTTGTCACGACTATTTCTTTAGGGGGAGACCGTTCGCATGTACATCACAATCCTTCTTTTTGCTAATGCAATTTCTTTTTAAGGAATTTATTTGGGGGGGGGGGGCTAGACAAAATTTTTGCCCCCCTAACCCCCCCCCCCCTAGAACCGCGCATGTTGCTCTCACATGTTACATCAGACATGTACGTATATGGATCTCAAGAGAGTAAATTTGGCCGTTCATGAACATGTATATACCTATCAGGAAAAAAATCATTGCCTAAAAGAGATATGACGAAAGCTTGAACAAATTCAATAATTTATTTTTCCTGAAGTTATATATCAACTGACGTATTTTGTTAGCCAATACATTTTTAAAAGTTTATGAAAACTATATTTATTATATATGTATATTAGTAATATAAAGAGTAAGTAAACCATTGATTCATAAGATTACGTATTTTTTTGTCAGACGTTATTGCCTGAAATGTTTGGTGACAATGTATATTGTCCAATGTGTTCGTACTTTCAGATTTTTAAATACAATTGTATAGTTAGTTGCTGACTTATTGTAGAGTGCAGTACTTGCCTGTTGAACAAAGTGTGGATAAATGATTTGGAAATTAAGCTTTAAGCACGATGTGCATTTTCACATCCACCAAAGAAAAAATAAAAATCCTGTTTTTCTGAAGATTTTTCAACTGACGATGCGTATTTTCACATTCACCAAATATATTTAAAAATGCATATTTTATATTGGTCATTTTAACATTCCTGTGTTTTTTTAACATAGAGCAGTTCAGCTGAACAAAGTGTTGACAATTATAAGGGGATGGACATTGATGTAAATTATGATGGATGTTTTTTCATGTTGTCCCAAAGATGGTCAAAACTGTATATTTCTAATTGGTCTTTCTATCATTCCTATGTTTTTCAAAATGATAAGCAGTTCAACGGTATAATGGGAACGGACATTAATGTAAATTATGATTCGTATTTTCACATTCAGCAAAGATAAACAAAATTGTATATTTCCAATTGGTCATTTTAACATTCTTAAGTTTTTCGAAACAATAAGCAGCATAACTGACTTAAAACGTAGGAGTTTTTTGTATACGGAGGACACATCGACATATTGAATGAATTTTGAACACAACCTTTATAAGCTGTGCATAGTTTTAAACATTTGAGACGATCACAAGGTTTTTTTAGGCGGCTATATAATAATTATGCTATACAATGGTATGACAATTTTTGAAAGAATTATGTTTCAAAGGTGAAGTTCTGTATACATGGCAACATTTCTTGTCAAACTCACGTACACATGTACTTCAGTCCAATTAAAGTGGCCTTATGTCAGAAAGAAGGTTAATGTTAAACAGTGCCTTCTGTATTCTGTTATGTTGATGTTACTGTCATGTGCGAATGATGAAATATGAATCGGTTGCATATCGCCTCACTTTGCTTGTTCGCATGTCCAAACGCACTTGCCTGTTGCCATTGTATATGGAATTTGGACTCCTATAAAATATTGCGCATTGGAGATCAATGGTTCTGACTCTTGTCATGTGTGACATCACTGTTCTGTTTCTCTCTTTACTGGGACATGCACAATACAACCAACGAGTCTGTATTTTATAGAGTCCCAGTTGCACATATTGTACACCACACCGCTCGAGAAAACCTGTGAGGAAGCGAACCTTATATGGTAGGTTAAAGCAGTCCGGAATATTTGTGATCAAACTTGAGAAGAAAATACGTTTGAACAGACTGTGCTATTTGGATTAGTCTCAACACCCAAATCGATATCTGTTTAGTCCTTGATTTTTTTCCACCCAAAGAAAATGAGACATCGACCCGCCCCCCCCCTTCCCCCATAAAAAGAATTCCCATAATTCATAATTAGGCTACCTCAAGTATTGAGATATTCTCAATTTGATTTTAATACAATGCAACGTTTATTTATATTCAGCCACAAATAAAATTAAAATTCAAATAGCATTTACGTAAGAAAAATTAGAGAAAATCATGTATGTGGAAAAAGGAAACAGAAAGCACAAAAAGACAAAAAGAAAAAGCAATTATTTTATGGCCCTTGAACCTTGGCTTGTCAATGGCACATATACACTGTAGTAGTACAGTTGAACAATATTAAAGAGTAATTCTTCGATAATATTAATTGCAATATTCAAGAAAATTGCCAAGCGGATTTCAAGGGGAGGAAAAGGAGATGCTTTTTGCCAACATTGTACAGTTAAATCGTAATTACTGCTCTGTTTAATAACTTACAAAAAAATGAATGTTTATGAGTAAAATGCTAAGAATAACATTTGCGGTGACAGATGGAACGTTCCGTTTTCACCGTCTTCGATTGAATATTATTCTTTCCATTGCAGAAATGTGAAACATTTATTATAATTGTGTTTATACAACACCTGAACAAACCCATCATCTGATTGGTCAATGCCACCAATAGTGTGACCGTGCAATGGAACTTTCTAGTTGCCATGGAAAACAACTTCTATGACACGTGATCAACGACCTGAAAATTAGATGACGGGGCCGGGGATTTGTTCAGGTGTTGTCATTGAAATCGCCTCAAACAATATCGGTACTTTGAAGACATATACATGTGTTTTGAAGCTACCTGTGCTGCGCTGCGTCTCAAACCAAATTGAAACCATATCCATAGTACCAGGAAATGCGTTAGGAATAGGATAGGAAAACATGTTGTGTTAACGTTTGGTTATGAACTGTAGGCCTATATAACTTCAACTTACGATTCGATTCGGATCAGTTGTGAAACTTTCTCCGTCCAGGGCCTTCAATATGGATGTTCTGCTCATTCTTGCGTTGTTTGCTTTACTGTTTCAACTGTCAAAAGGTAGGCCTGTAAGACCATCGTGAATTACGGTATAACATGATATTAACATCTGGAAAGTTTTGTTCACCGTGCAAGATAAATGAACCACTGTCTGTGTAATATTTGATAAGCAGAATATAACACACAGTATAACGAATTCAGTGCAGCTCTTTTAGCTCAACTGCGTTTTTGTTGCAGAGAAGCAGATAGTATGGCTCAGTCGCATTTACTATCTATGGTTATTTAGAATATAGGTAGAATGGCTTCTAATCGCTGTTCCTGAAAATAGCCCGACTGGTCTGTACTATAACTCTAAAAGTAGGTATGCATCTTCTTTTCGGTTGACTGTGGTTTGTCCGCGAGTAGAAACGAAAACAAAACTCAAGTGCGCTCTCCATTCGCTTTATGATACCATCCCATGGTAAAACGGCACCAAATTATAGTATAGTTGCGGTAAAAATGGATAAGCAAACATGGAATGTTGAATCGTACCGTGGAACCCAGGGGGCTCGATGAGAGGGTCTCCACCCTACCCCTGAAATGGTTCAACAATTACACCGTTGCGTGCGTTTTCTCCGTCGCATTAAGCCTTGTTCTCGCTCATGCTGTAGACGTTTTTTGACATTATCGTCTGAAAATCGGAATTACCTTTCTCACGAAGTGTCAAATGTAGGAATGTGTGCATGCCGGTGACCGAAAAGTGAAAGGTTTTTTGTTCCCTTGAATGTGCACAGTGAATAATGCTTTTGCACAGAGCAGACGCAATGTGAATTTTATGAATGACAAAAACGTGTTTTTCCCCTCCATTGGATCGAATGTTTACATGCAAATTGTGGCCTTGTAAGAATGAATGCTTCATTATCGGTTTGGGGTAATATTCACAGGAAACAAACAGGAGGACCGCCCCTAGGCACCTCCTTTGAGTGCAGCCCCCACCCACCCTTTTTCGAATTTGCAGCCGGAGATGCTTTCCTTGGGTAATAATTACATAGTAGGCTAAGAAAAGACTTTCAGTACATAGCCATTGCGAATCAACTGAACAGCATTCTGTGTTCTCTGGTATCGGCTTGGCCTCGTACTTTTTTGAAATATAGACAGGGACGTTGTGATATACATGATTGCTTTTTCCACAAAACAATTTCAGGTGAGGGAGGTACGCTTAGGATCCTCCCAGCAGAGAATTACGTGGCTTCCATTGGAGATAATGCAACGTTCACGTGCTTGGTAACCGGTCGTCAAACTGATAGGGGACCGGGAGTCGATGTCTTGTGGCAGAAATCTCGTCAGATATTGCAGCGGTGTTCGTTCCAACCACCCGGCGACCAAGAGGAATTTGAGGAGCACTGCAAACTGAGCATCGCCCCGGTGAGAAGGACCTCGGCTGGCCTGTACGAGTGCGTACTGTTCTACCTGACATCGACTACTAAAAACCTGCAGTTGGATGTAGTCGGTAAGGCTTGAAGGGGTTTAATAGTCGCTTTGGAATTTAGATTAAGTCCTTGGCAGTGGCGTAACTCGCGGGGGGGGGGGGGGGGGGGGCAGTTATTTACCCACCCCTCAATATTTAACAGCGAATACTCTGTTTTGAATGGGGCCTTTCTTCCTTATAAAACTCTCTTTGTATTTTTATATTATGTATATTTATATTTAATTGTATAGTAGACTAAATGGGGTTTGCACTCCCTGCCCCTACTCCCGTTCAGCCGCTGACTGATGTTATGTAACTTGCAAAATGTGGCCACAAATAGTAACTGGAATGATACAATTCTTCATTTCATTCTTCAATTGCCTTATAGAACGCAGGGAAATTATCGTAGATTTCAACATTTTCCGGGAGGCATGCCTCCAGACGCCGTAGCAGGGCGTGCTTTTGGCGCTTCCCAGACTCAACACCCCCCCCCTTATATCCCCACCCCTTTCGTTTACTTAAATCTGGCTCTTCCCCTAATTGCAATGCTTTCTCAAGCTGGTCTTTTATACACAGTGGTTGCCAAACGTTCAACCCGGATGTTATGTCGAAAAAAATACCTAGCTTATGTTATTATTTCAAATCACGTTTCTCTCTTACAAAACAAATATTAGTAATAAGTAAAAAGAAAGGTGTCTATAAGTTCTAAACCGAGATTATTATAGCTTGCTGTTTCGATTCGGCTCAACATATACCCCTGCAGTTATACAAATGGTTGTCCTATGAGGACCTTCGTGTTATTTTGGTTTGCTTCACAGAATGTTTTCTTTGAAACGCTGACTATTTATTCTAATGTCATACTGAAACTTGCACATGTTTGTTTTATGTCAGGCTTAATTGTTGTAACAAAAATAACCTGTTGAGTTTCATTTTACATGATACGATTGGAACGAGAATGAAAGTTTATAACTGCGGGGAATAAAGAGACTGTCAATTTACAGCATTCTGACCAGAGGCGCGAATAACATGAATTTGTAATACATTTTAAGGGGGGTATAGTCTATTGAAAAAAGGAATTGACATAAAACGCAAAACCGACGAATATCTTTTTTGGAGCCTCCACAATTAAAATGTTTACACTTGAAAACGTTATGTGTATGAATGACAAGTAATACCGGCATTTTGTGCACAAACATTACGGAAACCGAATAGGTTAAAGCTTTAATTTGATTCCTCCTTATCACAGTGCATATACAAAAACTGATGCATGTACAACTTTTTTTTTTAAATATTAGCTCCTATTTTGTCTAATAATAACTTATATACACTTACATAATGGTTATTTCCTAATTCAGTGCTGTTTCCCTTATTTCATTTGCCCACCTACATCCAGAGATATAGACAGATACTTGAAAGGGATGATATATCAATGTGGTCCAATTTGCAGCAAAGTGGATGAAAGGAGATTAACATGCCAGCAATCTCTCTGTTGGCCATCATACCTATTGTTCTTTGCCAATCAATATTTAGTCGGAACCTATGACTCATTGATTATGTAATTCGTTTTTATAATCATTGGAGCATAAGTTTAGGCTGGTCCAACTCTGTTTGCAAAGGTTCGCGAAGTATTTATTTCATATTAACTCACCATTTTACACCAGCAACATTAGAAGGTGTTACTCTGTCGTTTGGCTTAGTCGGTTTTTTTTTTCGGGGAAAAAAGGTCCATCACATTATTGAAACTTTACGCTACCTAATTTTATTGATTCGCATATTTAAGGTCAAATACAGTCAGTAAACAGAAGTTTTATTCGTCTTCACATTTTAATATTCTATACAGAACCAAATACTACGGTAGAGGTTACGGATCTCCTGACAGGCAAACTCGTCGACAGTGATTCTGAACCAATCTGTGTCCGTCGGTCTGGTTCAGCTGTACGTGGCTTCGAGTGCACAGTTCGGGACGCCGAACCCAACGCCTGGAACATCGCGTGGTTGGTCGGGGGAGAGCGGGTTGTAACGGGTTTCGTTGAGACCGGAGTAGGTAGACTGGTAAAAGTGAGCAGCACCTTCAATTTGTCACAGTTGCAAACCGAGTTTCCGAAGAACCTCACTTGTCAGGCTACGGGTCTCGATAGACTTATCAGCATTACAGTTGCGTTGAGGTCTTGTCATGGTAAGAAAAAAAAGGTTCTTCCATCTTAATTCGCAGGCCGCAACAACTACTGCCTTCTCTACCTTTACCCTTTCTCTTATATAATTCAAGTCACTGCTAAGCAAGGTGCCCCATACAGCTGCTCACAGTACCAAGATTATTGTCTCTGATATTCGTAAGCGTATGCATAACTGATGGAATTGTCGGTACGTGATTGGGCAGCCAAGCTTCCGTTCTGTCTCCAGAGTCTCGGTTTCTAAAATATGACCAGTTGAGAGGGCCATTTTGAGTGTCGATTGCAGTAAATCTTAAGGCTTATTGTCATTACTCAAGGGAGGTTGTCCTAAAGTTCTGTCCTTGTGACACGGTCCTTCCAGTTGATATTATGTGACATTTTCAGCATTAATAACTCATTTGCATTTGTAACCTGTAGGCATTCATCTGAAACCTTTCCTGGACCTTTGGGATCTATCAACTGGACGTCTAGTTGGACTGACATCCACGCCAATCTGCATCCAACCTGATACGGAGCGGCATTTCCGATGCCAACTCAGAACAACCAGACCAGAGATCTGGGATGTAGCCTGGTTTATCGATGGAGAAGAGTCTGGAGCTGGCCTCACCAATTTTACCAGTAGCGAAGCGGGCGGATTGGTCAACGTGAGCAGCAGGTTCATTATATCCAAGTGGCGAGACGATGGTACCGTTAAGAGTCTTACCTGCCGAGCTACAAATGAAGTAGAAGAGTCACTTAACGTCACAGTGCACTTTGAACCCTGCTCTGGTAAGAAAATGGAATATCTTGATTGTCTCCTTATTGGTTGATGAAAACTGCCCTAGGTCTCAGTAGTACTTGTTTGGCGGACATCATCTTCTGGAAGAGGCACTTCAAATTATCATTAGGGGACAAGTAAGGGGTGGGTTAGGCACAGGTCCCAGGAGGGTTGGCGTGACTTTGCCACCCAGGGCACCCCATTTATACAGCATTTTGTCCCATGCATCAACCCCCGCCCCCTGGTTCAAGCGAAAGACTAATCAGCATTACAATTTAGTTGAAGTCCTGTCATGGTAAGAAAAGGTTCCTCAGTCAATACGTGTACGTGTACAGTATTGTGGACAAGTGAAAGGACGGTTTTGCCCTCGTTCTGTCTCCAAAGTCTCGGTGCCCCAAATAATTATGACAAGTTGAACGGGTAATTTTGAGTCTCGATTACAGTGAACCAGTAAGGTTCATTGTCATGACGCGAGGAAGGTTGTTGTCCTGGAGCAGTCCAGGTGACATGGTCCGACCAGTTGATGTTTGTGAAGTTCAGCATTAACAAATTATCTCTGTTTATGCATTTGTAACTCGTGTAGACATGCATCCAAAACCTTTCTTGGAGCTGTGGGATCTATCAACTGGACGACTTGTTGGACTTACATCCTCGCCAATCTGCATCCAGTCTGATACGGAGCGACATTTCCAATGTCAACTCAAATCAGCCAGACCAGGGATCTGGGATGTAGCCTGGCTCATCGATGGAACAGATGTTGGAGCTGGCTTTACCAATTTCACAAGTGGCACACCTAGTGGATTGGTCAACAGGAGTAGCAGGTTCGTCATATCCAAGTGGCGGAGCGATGATACCGTTAAGAGTCTCACGTGCCGAGCTTCAAATGAAGAAGAATCACTGAACGTCACAGTGCACCTTGAGACCTGCTCTGGTAAGTTAAGGGGATATCGCAAATGTTTCCATTTTGATTTATGAAAACTGGCCAGGTTGTCAGTGTCACTTGCTTGGCAGACCTCATCTTCTGAAAGGGCACTTCATCAAGACTTTCAAATAACAAAAGTCCTTTTTGACTTCTCCTAAATTCTCATTATAGGGAACAGGTTGGAGGTATTATTAGTAATAGCACAGGTTTCGAGTGGATGGGCGCCCGCTTGTCACACAACATTAGTTTTTCCCCTGGTTTTAAATGACTGTATTATTTCCACTGGCGTAGACCGAGTAAAGAATGCTTCAATGAATCTTATGGATCTCTCGACCGGAAAACTGGTTGGCGTGACGTCTGGACCCATCTGCCTGAAGATGGGCACGAAGCGAACCTTTGCATGTACAATCCTAGACGTCCGGCCAGACATTGTGGTGACTTGGATCATCGATGGAATCAGGAATGAAAGCAGACGAGTAGATGTAACTCCGGCAACAGGTGGATTAGTCAACATGAACGCAAGTTTCTCCGTCTTCACCTCCTTGGATGGAAGCCTCATCAACAGCCTTACCTGCATGGCTACGGGATTCAAGACAAAGTCTCTTCTCGTCACCCTGCAGCTCCAGACTTGCCCTGGTGAGACAACCGTCCGTTCTAATGTTTGATTGTTCAGGTCAAGTGAAGCATGAAAGCAAATTACCTGCGAAATTGACTTTTTTATTATTCAGAAATTGTCTCCAATACTTCAATGGAGCTCCTGGATCTGTCGACTGGAGAGTTCATCAGCGATGCTTCGGAGGCCATCTGCGTGACATCGGAGACGGGAAAAGCATTTGGATGCACCGTGCGACAAGCCACACCCGACTCTTGGAGAATCGCTTGGGTCATTGACGGCGTGAGGGAGGAAACCGGATCCGTGGTTCAGACACCGAGCACAGACGAACTAGTCGACATCTTTAGCAGGTTCACTGTTTCCAACCCGACCAGTGCAGACGTCGTCAAAAGCCTAACATGCCAAGCAACGAGCCTAGCGAAAGAAGAACTTGCAGTCACGGTTCATCTGCGATCCTGCGCCGGTAAATAACTAAACTAACTCTTAACTAAATAGTATTAGTGAATTATTCTTTGGGAAGTTTATGACCCGTTGCATCCAACAGCAGCAGTCGTGATACTGTTTCTCATTAAGCTAGTAAGGTATTCCAAAAAAGTCTTGTGCACAGCAAGATTCGCGGATTTTTTTTTTTTCGGGGTAACTGCATGCGGCAGATAAATGCACACAATTCTATGGGGGACGTAGTAACCAAATCTGCATTCTGTGCAATTGTTCGTGCAATCGAAAAGGGATGGAGCTTTCATTCGCACAAAAAGTTTTGACACACAAGACACCTGAAAACACTTCGCTGTGCAAAGATTTTTTTTTTGCAAAATGTTATACTTCAGAACACAACGTTCGCTTCAATTTCGCTGGTACCCTGCTATGCTTTGGTACGCATACGATGAAATTTGTATCCCGAAATCTTGATGTGCACATGCGCAGTTGGAATACCGAACTCGCTTATTGATTGTCAACAAGATGTCTTCTGTTTTTATTTTTGTTTCATTGGCGACAATTATGTGTGCAGTAGGACACTCTCAACCGACATGGCATGTTTGTAGCCACAACCTCAGTCTTGGTGGTCTAGAATCGGTCATTCGGAAATTTCCTTGACGTGAAACTCGTGATACTTACATCTTCACCAAATCTGGGTTATATCTGACCAGATTCTTTTCAGGGTCCAAATGACAATTGTCTGGGTGAAAATGATTCTTTGCCATGATTCCGGTCCTAAATGACCGGAAAATCACAAAGGGAAAAGTCATTTTAATCCGGACAAGTAGCATTTAGATTTTGAATAGTATTAGGTCGGATAGAAACCAGACTCCGGCCAAATTTGACTCGGAACACTTTAATGTGTGACGAAATAATAACAATACTGGAATCAAATATAGTTCACGTTTCTATCTGTTTTTACTACTAGGCAATAAGCCAGCAATAGGCACGATCAACATGACGATGCTCTTTGCCATAGTCGGAGTCCTGAGTGGAATGTTAGTTTTGGCTGTCGCTGCTTTGGTCATTTCTTCATCAAGAGCCAAGAGGAAATACCACGTACCAGTGAGTGCACAGAGTGTGCCGAATCTTCAAGAAAGCGTCGAGATGGTAAGATATGTACAATGGGATATCAAAGTTACCTTTAGGTGTGGTAGACTCTAAGACCGTCGCTGGTTAAGTTTTTATCTGGAATCTTAGCTTCATTTTGCCAAAAACTCGTTAGGGTAACATTATACACATAATATCTGGGTTCAACTGACTCTTTCCCTAAAAGGTTTACGGGTCAGATTGACGCGAAAAAAAAAAATAATTAAAGATAGGATCGGAACTGCCATTGGATTCTGAACGAGGTCATTATGCCCATTAAAACTTGAAACCGGGTCAGTGTGAAAGGAATTCTCAACGTGTAGTTTAATTAAACCCTAAAAAGTGCCTGGACAGACTGACCCGGATTCCGGGTTATATTTGGCATGAATCTTTTCCGTGATTAAAAGTATTGTCATTTGACCCGGAAATATTTCTTTTTTTTTACATGGAAAATGTGCCAACTTTGACCCTAGATGAGTTAAGGTTATGTAGAACCCGGAATACTTAGTGAATCTGATCTCGAAAATTTAAGAGAGTAAATAAAATATAGTCGTATTACTCGGATGGATGCAATACAGGAGTCAGTGGCCCCAGATTCAGAATCTGATCCCACGGCAGTTAAGGAAGAAGTCACCTACCAGAACACCATAGCACAACCCAGAAAGATGACTGAAGAGATCCCATCAGACACCGGCCTGCCATCTTGGGCCGAGGGATGGGGGATTCCTTGGAGCGACCTCATCGTCGAGGAGCGAGTCCTCGGCAGTGGGAACTTTGGTGAGGTGCGATACGGAACTGTTAGGAAAGATGAAGACTTGAACAGGGCTGCCATCAAGATGCTCAAAGGTATAATCGAAACATAATTATAGTGCTTAAATCAACTTTTGAATTTGTGTTTCTTAAAATTTTACTTGCTATTTGTTTTGATCGAATTTGATCGTTATTGACGTATCAGAATACCAAATACAACTCTTCAAACTTCAAGGACCCAAATTGCAATACCTCCAATCGTTTCTTATGTATTTTTTTGCGAACAATATCATGACTTTCCTCTCTCCATCTTGTAGGACATGTATCGTCATGTGACAGAGATGATTTCATGGATGAGCTGTGGACGATGACTTTTATCGGCTACCATCCTAACATCGTAGAACTACTCGGTGCTTGTCAACATCAAGGTAAGTTACGGGACGTTTTTCAAACCACAGCTTCGGCTCCGTCTCCGGCTGCAGCCAAACTACATGGCTGAAGCCACAGACAGAGGTGAAATTAGGGTTTGGAAAAGAAACTCGGTCAGTTGGAACACGAGTATCATACTTGACAGGGATTTGGTGCAGAAATCAGGTGGGACGAGGTCTTATTTTGGAAGTACCCATACCGAACTTATTTGGTCAGCCTTTGCTATCATTCATATGTCCGTCAGCATCTTGGAACAGAGAGAGAGCGGGGGCAATTGAGCTAAAGTAGAAGTGGTGGGATAAGCAGGCCCGTCGCCAGGTCCGGGGGGGGGGGGGGGCAGGCCCCCTGACGAGCCACTGCCCCCCCCCCCCCCATCAGCAAAAACCATAGACGTGAAAAATATATATAAGTGTGTTTTGTCTTCTGTGTGCCCCTATTTTGTACTGTGACCCTCCACCCCTGCCCCCAATGCCCTGGCTGGCGACGGGCCTGGCCGGGTGAGGTGAGGTCAGCTCCCTTATGGATGGATAAATGAAGGAAAGTTTGCAAACAGGTCTTAGTTAAGATCTTGCCCTACCATCCTCTTTGTGTTCCTGATCCAGGAGTGCTGTACGTTGCCTTGGAATACCTTCCTTATGGTGATCTGCGCAGCTACCTGCGGACGGCTCGCTCACAGTCAGACTCAGACGAGGATGCCTTGTCTTCCGATCAGCTGGTCAAGCTTGCACTCGGTGTTGCCAGGGGAATGGAGCACCTTGCTAAAGCAGGGGTAGGCCTAACTGATTAAGCCGTCTAACCAACTCCAAGTTTGGTTTTAACGAATTCCATTGTGTAGAAGTCTAGATTTGAGTATACGTGGCTTCCATTCAACAACCGGTCTTTTTTTTCTTTAAGAAATACTTCAGTCACATTGCCAACGTCTTTTGTATTCTGGATCCCACTCTTTGAGAAACCACAGTCATTCACTTGTATTTTAGGCCGATTAATGAATTCCAAATTCAACTTTCACAATCCTTGACAACTTATATTTTCAGGTAATTCACCGTGATCTGGCTGCCAGAAACATCCTGATCGGGAACGGATTGGTTGCTAAGGTTTCTGACTTCGGTCTGTCCCGTGGGGAGAATATCTACGTCCAGACATCGAGGGTTTGTGCAGATGGAAAAATTATTGAAAATGTCGATTATTTAATAATAATAACCTTCAATAATAATAATAATCTTCAAAGAGGAAATGGGGGTTCTCTCCTTTTCACTGTCAATCGTTGACCAGCGTTTGAAAATTTTGCTCTACCATAGATAAGGTTACTTTGTGAGCCACTAACACAAAACAACGCTTTTTAGACTGAAATTGTGTGCATTTGTTTTATCTTGGGGGCCTGGATTAAATTTATGGGGTAAATATCCCTTGGTCCATTGCTGAAAAGGTGGGAGTAAACAATTCTAAATACTCTATTTTTTTTCTTGGGATACATAGACAAACACACACATGACCAAAATCGCAAGGAATACATAAAATGAAAGCCTTAGATACAAACAAACAAAAACAAATACAAAATACCATTCAGATTACCGAAAAGAAACATAGTTTATGTCAAGGGGCTCTCCAAGCTAAATGGGATACATGAATACAAGAAGCTTCAAACAAACAAACAAACAAACAAACAACGCAATACCCCAACAACCCGGTAACATATCAATCAATAGATAAAAAAATAAATTAATTAAAAACCTTTAATAAAATTGTAGTTTGGCGACGAAAATTGGTTCACTCGGAATCCGGGTTCTATTTCTCCTGCCACGTTTCTGGGTCACAGTGCACTATTTTTGGTCGAAATTACACATATCGAGCTCATTTTCCGGGATATTTTCACCCGGAGAAGAGTAATTTTGACCCAGAAGAAAGAGTGTCATTTTGACCCTGAAGATTGTCAGACAAAATAGAATCGGGATTCTGGGTCAAATCTGTCTCTGACCATTTAGAGCACAGGTTGAGCGACTTGCTCAAGACAAGAAAACAGGATATACGGCCAATCGTCAGGTAGAACGGCGACCTAAACACAAAGTAAGCAAGTCGGACAGCCGCTGTAAATTATAAGAAATTAATCAAGCATTATCAGTTGATTCATTTATTCAACCGTTTTATTCTATTTATGCAGCGACGAGTACCACTTCGCTGGTTATCCATCGAGTCAGTGAGGCACCAGTTGTACACCACTCAGAGCGATGTGTACGTTTGTCAGTCCGTCTTTCTTGATCTTGAAATTCGGGACTCGGAAAAACTGAAGATATCACGAAAAAGCAGCTGAATTCAAAATGAGGATTTTTTACTCTATGGAAGTTTGCATGTGAACTTTAAGTTTTCTCGTCATATGCTTATGCACGAGGCCAAAAATATTGATAGTAGTTTCTATACCCTAATTCTTCTAAACGCTGTGTCGATTTTTATGTTATATACGTAGGTGGTCCTTCGGAATTCTCTTGTGGGAAATAGCTACTTTCGGTAAGCATAATTTGTCCGGTTATAATACTTTCTTCAGCAACATTTTAATTAAAAATAGGAATTACGACATATCGCTTTCAAAATGTACAAATCTTCTTGTAACAGAATGAAGCAATAATGACGCAGTGCTATTTTGGCCGATTGTGTATCGTTTTTTTTTTTTAAAGTGGAACGTTTGCTCTTTTAAAAACGATAATGAGTCCTTTCTATGGTTTGTTTTATTCTCATTTTGCTTGTTAATGTGTAGCAAAACAAACTCCTTTCCACTCCTCCACTATAATCTCTTGTTCCATGAACAAATCCCATCACAAATGTTCAAGCCTAAAAAAAATTAAGCCAACTAGATTACAATTTTGTTTAATTCAAGGTGGCACTCCGTATCCAACCATATCGAACGACTTGCTGGTGGAAACTATCAAAAGAGGATATCGTATGCCTAAGCCGGACAATTGTCATGAGCAAATGTAAGAATTCTCATTCCTCTAGAAGAGTTATCCGAACGGTCCTCATAAACCCCTGTAATCTAAACTATTAGAAAAAATCACCAGACATTGAACACACTTGAGGACTACATGTGTGGACTAAAGAGGGCGGCCTGCAACCCGCCAGCAAGATGATGAATGATAAATGCACTTGCGCTCTCCATTACAAATTAGATGATACACACTGAGTAAGGACACAGTTTGCCTAACAAACATTATGGAGTAGGTTCTGGTTCCTGGTCCTCAATTCTAATCTTAAAACCAAAAACAATCAGGTTTACTGAACAATGACGTTTACAACATCTATTTCCGGGGGGAAAACTATTGATGAATTTCGGCTCCAAAAAAAAACGTACATAAAATTAGTTGCTTCCCTGTTACTTTCTTTAGCTATGCCCTAATGCGCGATTGCTGGGACGAGGATCCGAACAACAGACCGACCTTCACTGACCTAGTGTATATCTTGAGTGACATGGCAGACAATCGGATCAAACACGTGAGTAAACTGTCTGCACATCTGGTCGTAAGGACTTCCTCGGCATCAGCATCTCTCGAAGCCGCCATACTTAACGTTTTAGTCAGTTCGATCATAAGCAATTGCAAATCAATCACACTTCAATCACAAGTCAACCACAAGTCAACCAAAAGTCAATCACAAGTCAGTTAAAAGCCAATCGCAAGAAATTTGCCGCATGTCAATCACAAATCATTCGCAAGTCAATCACAAATCAATCGCAAGTCAACCACATGTCAATCACATGCCAACGACAGTGTTAATCACAAGTCAATCACAAGCTTATCACCGATTATTTGCAAGTCCATTACAAATCGATCTATCTTCAATCACAAGTCAATCACAAGTCAGTCACGAGTCAATCACAAGTAAGCCACAATTCTATTGCAAGTCAATCCTCATGTCTGCAGTTGCCCTCGTTACAGTTCCTTTGAATTTTTCGTCACGCAAGTTGAGACTGAATTGCTTCTGGCTAACTTTCAACGACTTGTGATGAATTGTGATGACTTGATCACAGCTATGATGCAGCAATTTCTTCCAAGTCTACTACTTTGCGTGTATTAATCTTCACCACAAACAGCTTCAGGCATTGCATCATGTTCAAATATATTCTTGGGATTAGAATCCAGCTATGCTGACTTTATAAATTTGTTTAATGCAATTGCATTAAAAGCAGTTTATTTGAATTTCTTTTCACAGACTTACATGGCGGTAATCCGAAACGAGTACCAGAATATGAGCGCCATCCTGCCGGAACTTGATGACAACTGAGGGGCGTGGTCAGCTGCTGATTCACCAAGCGGTTTGCACGGGACAGGCCTATGGCATGGATGGCTGAATCCTGATGGCTGACATCAATCCTTATAATTATGTTCTTTTGATACAAGTAGAATGCTTAAATTAAACAGAATAATGAAATGATTTTATTTGAAGCCCGCGGAAACACGCCGAACTTTTGTCTTATAATGATTCTTTCTGGAACTGCTGGTTAAGACGTGTTGAAGATCGTCATTCTAATATTGGCACTGCGTTGTGAAATTGGCTTGTTTTTATTGTTCTTTCAGTAAATTATGGATGCCCTATTTTTAAGGCATGTTTATACGCGTCGAAAGGCAGATCTAAGGGGTGTATTTTGGTGGTAGCTAACTTCCTCTTCCGTCTGACCAATGTCAATTATTTACATAAAAAGAAATCCAAACTTTTCATATTAAAAGTTTCCCCAAAACGGCATCAGTCAGTATGCCAGATCCTATAATTCCTTGCTACACGACCTTGCTGTTATGTACCGTATGCGTTGACTTCAACGTCTCATTTAAACCCCTCTTGAAAAATGAAATATCCCAACCTCAATTCCCATCATCATTACGGCTCTGTCTAAATTGGTTTGAACCAAGGACTGATTTTGACCCTGCAATTATTGTTTTGTAGTAATAGCAAGGTTTATCCTTAGCCTCCTGTACTTTGATCTCCGCCTTACACCTAAAATTGTGGGCACTTACTCCTTGAAAGTACAACACCAATATTAGTAATAGTTCGAATTAATGGCATCAGAATCTATTATTGAGCGGGATTTTTGGGGGGAGGAAATGCGCGATGTCGCATGGTTGCATGGTTACAATGACGTGGGTATGAATCATCAATGAAATCTTCTTTGTTATCAAGAGTTAATAATTTACATAAATACACGCATAGCGGGCAGTCGATGCCACAAATAATGCCATACAAACGTACGCGACGTCGTTGCTTCACAATGTGAACCTGGGCTGTGTTCAGTGTGTTCATTCAATTTAGAATGTAGAGGACAACATAGGAATAACTTGAGAAAGAAAAGACAAGGACCGTGTGTTTCAAAGATGTCATTGCAGAGAAGCACCCTCGCGGCTAGTGTTGAAGAAATTTTAGGATTGGGGCATGACATCGTCGGAGTAAAACCTGGAAGATGGTACAGCAAAGACAATATCGATGGCTTGGAGCAGGAGTTGAAGCTGTATGGCATTCTAGAGCTGAGTTATAAACCGCCATTAGTTCACCAATGGGCTATCGTGACCGATCTTTTTGCAAACCGCTTCCAAATTGCTTTCATCACCTCTGAAAAGGAGTTCCGCACTAAATCACTCCGAGAAGTGATTGTCGACTGCGACGTTAGAATCAATAATAAAAGAGTCCGTTATCCAAACATCCCAGCCCAGGCTGGGGAAGATCGCAGTGGCATTAGGATAAACATCATGCTCCATGCCATGGCTTGCTTTCTCCAAAAAAGATCAATGCCGCACTTTATCAGCTCTCTCAACAAAGAATTTGGGAAGAAGTCTAACAAACCATCAAAAAAAACGGAAGCATTTATAGAAATGGCCTTACAGCTCTTGATAGGTAAGTATAAAGTAGAGACATAATTTATACCCGGTTCGTATACACGAACGCAAACAACACTGTGCGGCTCAAGAGCTCGATTTTTCGGGGACCAAAATTGTGACCCCGAAATTCGTTCTGACATGGTTCTAGGATAATAACACTTCAACGCCCATGGCCCAGTTTTTAAAAATTGTTGTGTGGACGTTTAGTTAATATAGTTTAAAACGCCTTTCTAGCCTGATTGGGCGCAATTCTCGACGTACTTTCCCTTTTGAGTGCGTTCGATTGCTTCCCTCAGCTTACTCGGCGCCTGGGTCCTCGCCTGATTACAGGCATGCGCAGTTAAGCTAAATAAACAAACAGTTTCGTGTAAAATTGCGTGCAAGAGCAGCAGCAACCTCGTGCCCCTTGGGTACGATCTTGCAGCGCCATGTTGTTTCCCATCATGCCTTGCGCGATCGTAACCCCTGGAATTGTGTAATTTTAATGTATCAAAATACGGTACATTATAATTATAATACGGTACAATTATAATGTGCCGGCGTCATCTTTAAAATGTTAAAAGTTGTGATTTTGAAGAATCACTCCTTTCAAACACAACGTTTGGACGTTTTGTTAATTAGCAAAGATTTGTATTAAATGTACGTACCCCTTTCGTGCCTTTACAACCACAGATACAGGGGTTTTTTTTTTAGCGAAAAACGCTGCTGACATAATCCATATCGTACTTCGTCGGCTTCGCGACTTTTGAATCATATTTTTTGTTCTTGCACGTGACGTTACGTGAAAAGCTAAGTACGCGAGCGCGAGCGCATCATGGGCGCGCCCGGCGTGCAATCTTCGAAATGCCCGCGCAGTACGCTGTGAATAGCCATTCAGTGTCATTTACGTCATCATCACAGCCAGGTGTTAGTGTAAGGAACGAGCACGCGCCCCTGGAGTCGAGAATGGTCATAGTATGGTAGCAGACCAGTACATACAGTTTCATAGACCCCAATGGTAAATGCTCCCACTTCAAAAAATCGGGAAAAATACTCACAACTCTCCAAGGTGTTCGAGACACACATCAAATTAAAGCTTATTTCATCATCTTTCATTGCTATTGCAACCTCGTGCCCCGTGGATACGATCTTGCTGCGCCATGTTGTCTCCCATCATGCCTTGCGTGAAAGAGCACGCGCCCCTGTAGTCGAGGCTGATGCTATTGCGCCTGTGAGCAAAATGCTGGGCGTAAATCGAAGCCATATGCATGACATTCGCGCATCAAGTAATTAAAGATAACGTGTTAAAGCTATAGTCCATCATTAAATTTTGTAATTTGTGCATTTTGTTCGTTTGAAGCAACAAAAGTGTTCAAAATCTAATGAACGATACGGAGCAACTAACCTGATGAAGTTTCAGCTCAGCTTCAGCTGTATATTCCGAGAAAAACAGCATTCTAGGATCTCGATTTCAAATCAAAAGTTGCTGAATCATGTTTTGAATTGGTTTAACGCAGCTTGTTTTTACTAACGAACCGGATAGTTACGTACCGCGCACGCGTGTGCATCGTGCCCATGCTGGCCTGCGCTTCGCCGAATAACAAAACGAACTGCTAATTTAAATTTTCCTATGGTGCGTCTTAAGACCAACCGTTGAAAAAGAGTTCTTTCATTGATTACTTTAAAATGACAGCTTGCTAGAAAGAATAATTTCACAGGGAGTTTAGTCCCCTTACTATCTTTCAACCAAGTATGTTTTTCAACAATAATTACGCAAGTTACTCTTCGGATGGCTGCGAATAATGGACTATCCAACCTACGATACGTACCCCTTTCGTCCTTCTACAACCGCAGATATTGCTCCTGAAAACCGTTTTAAGAATGAAATGAAATTACACTCCCATAATGTTCCGGACATCTGAATAACCTAAATAATTCTTCAAATTTATTTACATTGTGCTCTACTTTTAGTACCCATTTTGTTCAACATTGTGAGATTCTTGCGCCTTCTTGACGATTTTCAGATTCTGGATACGTCACAAGAGGTCCAGAGCAAAATAACACAAATTTATTTGTTCTATTTTTTTAAATGTTAGTGAACGGCTGGGGGAGGGGCGTGCATCCCCCAGTATCCAACAGTACAAATCTGCATCTGATATACGGCATTATGTCATAACCTGAGGAGGGACAATGGAGAAAATAATATTTTGGGTGTTGTTTATTAAAAGCTGCCGTAAATTTAATTTAAAGGACAGCGCAACAACTGCGGGAATATTCTGTTTGTTATCACTCAATATCACTTAAACAACTGGATGCAAGTTTTTTTCAAAGGGGCACTAGGTCCTGAAATCCCCGAAAATGCTATGTTTTGGATTGTTTACTTAGCCTATTTCAAACATCTGGTTGAAAGGAAACCAACCTAATGCCTTGCCGTTCCCGAGAAAAGACGGGGAAAAAAGCACGCTTGTTTACATCGGACATGACGGAGTACGAATTCGTTTTTCGTGTCGTTCTCATGTATACACGTTGTGTGTCTCGGGAACAACGCGCGGTGACCAATCGCCAATGCAAAAGATTGTGGTTTCTTCAACGTCCGCAAAAGGCGAACACTTTACGCGTACGAATGAAATCACAACCAGCATCCAAACAGCTCGAATTTCAGGGGTCGCAAAAGTGGACCCCGAAATTCGCTCTCGCACGCATAATACAGGAATAACACAAAAACGCCCAGTTTTAAAACGATAGTTGTGTGAATGTTTATATCCTCTTTTTCAAAGTTATTTCCGATTATCATCATCTCGTTCAAAGCACGTTTTGTAGCCCAATATGGCTGTTCCAGTACCCAGTGTCCCTTTAAGCAACGCGCATCAGCATTTTAAACGGGAAATAAATTCGAGATATAAAATGGACCAACTTTCGAGATGAACATGCAGCTTGATAACCAATTTTGAATTTTGTTGGGGAAATAACTACTACAGGTCAAAAATATTGCTTTTACGGACATAAAAACCTACGGGAAGAAATGGTGCGCGTATCGCAACTTTTGCCCCACGCGCTAAAAAAAATGGCGCCGCCCATGGCAGAACGCGCGTCTGTACGCACTGCCGATCTAGTCTTTTTATTTTATATCTATGGTTGTACTATACCGTTAGCCTCAACGACCCTTGCGTGTGCTTTGTATGCATGTACTTACACCCGACACACACTTCCGCAAACAGCGGTACAGTAAGTTGAGGCGAAGAGTTGCCTTGACGCAACCGTGGCGAATTCCTTACGTGTTTCTTTATATTTTCGACCGAACTCTGTCGAGAATTTCTGATGCGCATATAAGTAGTTTTGACCTTTGGCATAGAAATATGTAAAGGTCACATAAATATGTAAATATGTATTTACAGATTTAAATATTAATTAAAGGGAAGTGGGAATTTTCGGTACAGTTTGATCTTTTTG